TATATATGTAGTAACAAAATAATAACAACAGTGAACGGTAAAATTTCCAACAAGCCAAAAATATAATTGATTTTTCTCTATTTAGATTGGACGACTTAGTTATGTGTATATACTAATTTGCATGTACGCGAAACTTATTTTTTAGGTAAAGACACCTTTGAAAATAGGGCCTACCTACCGTTTTTCCATATGTGCTGTGCCATAACGTCGCAGAGAGGTCCGCAGTGAAGATGTACTTGCGATGCTGAACTGGACGACTAAGAGCTCCAGCCAGCTTGCAGTATGCCAAACTTTCTAAGCAATCGATGCTTACGGAGCCCAATCCCCAATCGCCGCGCCATACGGTTAACTCCATCTGACTGCAGTTTGATCCTTTCTGTAGACAAAAGAGATAAGCATAGAATGGAATCTACACAAATATATAATCTATACTATTCAAATAATATCTATATTATTTGTCGACAAACGTCTACGCTAATAAAACTATTTTAAGAGATAAAATTTGACAGTAAATAAGATTTGGCGGATCGTACTAGGACCATTTTTACGGATGCAATCGTTCATATGAATTCATAATATTGCTTTAATTATTGAACAGTATATAAGTACGCAGCTCATCCAGAAAGCTTGATTACCACTATACCCTGTAGCCATCAAATGCAAAATAAAAAAAAAAAATAGAAAATCGTATATGCTAAAAAAAACGAATAGGCAAGAATTCCAAGTTTAAGAATCACACACAATCACGTTAGTGAGTTTTTTAGTCGTATAAAGGCAATTCATTAAAGCTCGATGCAGCTACAGTACTTAAAATATAATGAATCTCCAGAAGTTTTACTGTGTTGCAGAAGTGGCTTTAGATAAAATTTGTCGCCTAGTCAACTAGCATGAGCCACCCCTAATAAACTTAAAAATTCATATGATAATTACGCGACTAATCCACAAATAAAATGCACTTGAACAGTAACAAAGTACTTTAGGGCTTGTTATAATGTTATTCTTAAGCGTCTTCACAGGCCTACCTGTGCGGTCGCTTGCATTATAGGAAATCCACATAAATTCCCAGCAAGAAATGCATATATGTGTGCAGGTGAGTCTCTCCAGGATCGGTAAGCTCGATTGTCAAACAAAACCAGTAACGAATTTTTTTATATGCTAACCTTATCAGAACATCTTTTACAGAAGGTCTTAAAACACCAAAATGATTTGATAAATATTAGATATTTTCTCCGCTTGGAATGTAGCCAACCGAACAATAAGTCGGATTCTAGTCGGTCACAACAAATGGTTGTGGTCTATAGCGGCTCTGTTTGTATGAAACATACAGCTGATGCACACCAGCGCTAACGGTATGTCCCGGTGCCCGGCGCTATTGACATGTCGATAGCGCTAAAATTTAACCGACTAGTAATCTTCAATTCCGCTATTCACTGAGAGAATACCTAAATAAACCGAAATATCCAGTCGTTTACAAAGAACTTTTGTATTGCAATTCACTTTAAATGTTGCTGCTTTTTGGAAAGGATGATTATTTCCTTCTATTTCTATCGTTTTCTTTGACCATTTGAACATCAAACAGAGACCTTAGTTACCGAACGAGGCGTGCATAGGGGACGATCTATTCATTACCCCTTTTAAAATCGATGGTTCTTGTTTTGTGTTTCTTGTCCATGTTGCATTAACCAAAACAATTGTAGTCCACTGAAGCAAAGTCTAAGCTATTAGCCAGGCGCAAAAGCTCTTCTGAGTCATAATCTCTATGTTTCGAATTTTACATTTGGTGCCGCCGTTAGGCATACCTCCTGACGGCTGGCTGACTTGCAGTGTTTATGCACAGGTTCGAACCTAGACCAAGCATAGATGAGACTTTCATGGTAATTAAAGATAATTTTCGATGATCTAAAAATCTCAAAAACGTTTCCCTTGTGGCTCTTTTGAGAATTCTCTCGACTTTGAGATTTGGTTGGTCTTGAAAAGATCGCAAACCAGTGTGACGTTTAGTGTCACACTTAGTGCAATGGGACCTCTTCTTGCTTAATAGTTCGCTCAGATCTCACAAAGTTTTTAGACGTGCACATATAGAGAATTATACGAAACTTCCTTCGTGCTTTAAAGATTGTCTCCAGTACTTTCGACAATTACTTTGTAATTATTCTAACGTTTAGCGCAGTAAAAAGTAACCTTCAGAATAAATTGCATTTTTATCATACTAACTGTTTAGCAGATCGGGATGTTTATACAACTTTTAAACCACGTTTCATCAGCCAACGAAGTTTAATATGAGCAACTTTTAAACCACGTTTCATCAGCCAACGAAGTTTAATATGAGCACCATAACTTACACATTTAGTGATATTAGCCAAAGACGCAACTAGGAGTCTATTGAAAATATGTGAAAATCCTAGGTTATTGGCGCGATCATTCTGATAACGAAAACTGAGAGGAAAATCACAGAGAAAGTGTCTGCACATAAAGAGCCACTGTGATCACAAAAGGTTTTGAACATGCACAGTGTGTTTCTTAACGACTCAATATGGGATTCATCAAAGCACCTGTCACAAAACTGCAACGAAAATACCTCAGTAGAACCAGAAAGATGCAAAACATTGGTACCTCACTGATTGAGTCAGCTACAGCTGGGCTATGCTTTGCAGACAATATGCACAACTACTACATGCAGAACCCCCATTCGGAGTACATGCTTTGCTGTATTCAAAATATCGATCAATCCATGCCGACTGCCAGAAAAGGATCAGGCCTGAGAATGACGTTGAGTAGAAAAGGAGGCGCTTGATATATTTGGGCCTAATCTGATTTGCATATTGCGACGGATATCAAGGCCTCAGATTCCTGAAGGACCTCATCAATGGTGTTCTAATCAACAGCACGTAGTGCGGCTGACTATAACGCCTGAACCCATCATTTTGTTTCCTTCACAGCATGGTCGAGAGAAACAAACCTGAGTAATAGCTTCAATTCAGGTATTCTCCAGATTTAAGTTCGTATGACGTTGATTACTTCATCATGAAGTAATATAGCGTATTATACCGTCGGTTCTCTAAAACAAATTATCGAGAACAAAATTAAGTATGGAAATGCAAATCACAAGATCACCACTGTTGATGACCCACCTATAGCGCTGATTTTAATGTTGGAATAAATAACAAAGGGGATTACATCTAATATACATTAAAGTGCTGTTATTCTAGCGTATTCAACAATTAGTTTAAATTCTTAGGATAAATAAAAAATAACTCCAGACAACTTAATACAAGTTATGTTAGCTTGAAAAAAGTTCTCTACATTTTTTTAATAAGATAAAAAAAAGCACTACATTTTTTATTTCTGTGACAATAAGTTGTTATGTTATAGTTGTGGTTTACGCCTTCTTCCTATCTTTCCATTAATAGGTAGCGGGCTTGTCGGGTCTTTTTTTTTGAACAGCCTAATTAACTCAATGCAAATAAACATACTGATGCACTGGATGTTTTGTAGAAAGCAATTTCAATAAATCAAGCTCTCGCAGTCTTACCAAACGGCATTTTTTTTTGGATGAAGATCTGGTTGCACCCCGAGGCCATAACTTTTCTCCTGGATCTACCCATTTCGAGCTTTGGTTTATGCTGATCTACAAACGCTACGTGTTATTATCAGCGACCGTTCTGAGCTAAAACCGATCACTGTCACCGCCTGAAGCTTGCTTATGGGCAAGACGTTAAGATGTATGTAATAACTCCTTGTTGGATTCAAAGAGTTCCAAACTCCAGTTTCTACGTAAACCCAAAAAATTTAAAATAGTTAACGACGGTCGTGTGACTGCAGCTCATCTTTTTGGCTAATATCCAAGTTGTTTGTCGGCCATTCTTATCTAAAGGCACCCCCAGATGGTCGTCATTAAACTCGGGCAGTCGGTCAGAGCAGACTTATCATTTATATTTCAATACCGTTTTCAAACTTCACAAAAGGCTCTATTACAATCCTTTACAACGTCGTACAAGCAAATTTTCCAGGCTATTTCTGCAGTGTTCTGGGCTCGACGAAATTAATGGAACAGAAAGTATAGAAAATGCACTTTTTCTCTTAGAAATTTAACAAATTTTTTCGACGTTAAAATCGCACACAACACATTACAGTGCAGTTTAGAACAGGCCAAGAGAAAAGGCAACTTTCGAGTAATGTATTAGAAGTTTTATTTTCAAAGCGCAAAAGCCGCCTTTTCAAGTTATCACGTAGTTCGTATAAGTTAGACCCAACCATGACTTTACATACACCGAACGGATAATGATAGAAAAAAGTATGTATTAGCTAGAATATGAAAAGAATGCTAAATAATACTATGTAATTAATAATAGTAATAGTACTAATGAAGGATATAAGTTGAAGATGAGGCGGATTCGTGCCGCATAGAATTGGCGGTTGCAGCCCGAATTAATTCAATGTAATTATTTCATAGGCCAGTGGTTATATTGATTTTTTCTAATAAGAAGTCAGCTCTTGTTAAACAAAGAACGCGAAAGATTGTGTAATTGGTAATTGGCTTATAAAGTAAACGTTAGTATAATCGATGAACGCATTTTCTTCTGCGTGTAGAGCTATGATGGGACCATGTGAAAGAGCCGTTGATGCAACGCTTCAAAAATACTGACGGTTTCTCTAGCTAGATGACCTAGAAGATCTCAAGTACATGAACCGTGTCGGGTCAACGCTAATATCCCTTAAAAGCTGTGATTTGACAATAACAGATGTGCTTTTTGCTAATTGTCAGAATGCTTTTTATTTAGGCTTCAGATGAGGTTTTTTGAAAATAGGGGAAATTCCTGAAGTAAAAAAAACGTTATATTTTTCAATTTTACAATTGTTACGATAAAGACAAATGTTGCTATGGTAAAAAAAATTCTCTTTATGGTTTATACGTGCTATCCGAAAAAAGAGCTTACAGATGATCCTGCCGCCTTTGTTTAAAAAATCCGGGTGTGGAAAATACTCCTCATAATTGCCTCGACCAACTACGGAAAAGGTTATTATTAGAAAACTTTCACAATAAAGTTAAGCGTGACTGACACGTGAGTAGTCATAACGACGCCGAGGACCCAAACGTTCCCCGGCAAAGAGTTTTCAAAAATTTGAAAAAACCGGAGCACAAAAGGAAGCTCGATGTTTACGTGTGACTTGAATCGATGCAAAATAACTTAATCTTATTTCTATTTGCGAAACTCTATCGAAATGTATCGAAATCAAGCTAATTCTAGGGTGGTTGATAAATAATGGGTCACATATGATGATAATGTACAAAAACGATTATAGTCGACGAGGAAAGCTTCACAAGCTGTTGCAGAACCCAAATTGTCTCCAAAGAAGGTGAAGCTACGTATTTGGTGGTTTTAAAAAAGAATCGGGCATTATGCGCTGCTGCTATATCGAACCTCGTTTTCAAAAATGAATAAGATCACAACAAGCAACGAAAAAATCTGCTCATTAATAACGCCGTCGTGTTCTACCATAACAGTGTCAGATCATATACGTTTTGAGTTACGTGGCAAAAAGTGAGACAGATGGAAAATTTTACTGCGTTCGCCGTATGGCTTGGATTTCGGGCCATCGGACCATTTAATTTTAATGGACGGGTACCAAAATCACTTGTTATAATTTTTGGTCCAGAGACCACAGAGGTAATACACTGACGGGATTTTGGTAGCGCTTTCTAGCACTATGGGTCCACTAATGGTGGAGCGTCATCGATTAAGATAACGCATATTGCCTCAAAATGTTAAAAATATTTTTGCTTCACTTTGGTTTCAAAGCTGGCAATACTTTTTTGATTACCCAATAACGATCTACAAAATAAGTAATTAAATTATAGAAACTTCGCATTGTATATGATCGTTATAATAATAAATGGAAATTCGGGTACCTTATATTTGTGCTCACTTGTGTTTCCGCTTCAAGTGTTTCTACACAGGTTGCAGGACATTTTGCAATTAAAATAAATAACATGTTGAAGAAGAATTATCAAGCTGGTCCGAAGCGGTCAAGTACTTATAGCATACGTCGTCCACTATGGTTACAGCTGACATCTCGAAATCATTTCTATCGATGAAATATCGAATCGACAAATATGATTTCCATAGAAAAATTACCGCAAAAAACAGAATTTTCAGTCACCTGACCAATAAGAGATATCATGGGGTTTTAACATTTATTATATGGCCAAATAAAAAACAATAGCTTATAAAGTAATTCAGTTGCATTGGCCATTTTCACCAGGTTAAGTACCATAATGTGATACGCGCCCTTCCCT